CTATTACTAAACTATATAATAATAGTAAATAAGAATGAGTAATTACAGGTAATAATAGTGAATGATAGTAATATATTATTATTAAATATTATTGAATATACTACTACCCTCACTACGCGGCCCTTCGGGCCCCTATGTGGTAACAGTAAACAAAGAGCATTCCAGCACCTGCTTTGTAACTCCTTAAGCGGCGATGACGACAGACGTGTAAATATCTAACTGACTGCAACCGGATGGTTCACTAATCTTATAAATATTGAGGCGTTCGTATAACCCGAGTCACGGATGCCTTTTGCGGAAGTAAGCTTCGGCATGGCGCAGCACTCCGAAGAGCGGGTGACAAATCCATCAGAGTTGTACCAGGGACCCTTACCTTCTGCTATATTGCTGTCACCTATAATCCATCTAGATCGTTCCATGCAACTTTATCTATCTTCCCAGGGATGTAAAAATGCTAATCTTGACCGATATCTTTACCCTTGTTATCGGCCCGATCACTAATCATATTCGGATCAGTAATCATGGTGCAACTTTTCGAGTCTCATAATATCCCTCAACTCTCAGCTTAAGAATCATCTGGCTAGCAGATATAAGTATCTATACCATCAAGCACCGGTATCAGCCTCATAGACAATAACCCAACTCAATCATTACACCCAATCCCGACGAAAATATCATCTCAAAATGCCCCTCTGGCAAATCTACCACCCACCAACCACATTCACCTACCCATCATCCAAGCACTCCTTCGCTCAAGACATCACCAAATTCTACACCGATCTCGGCCTTCCCGCCTTTTACGTGGTCGTCAACTTCATCGCGACACAACCCGACGATGTCTACGTCGGAGGCACATCCAAACACCCCACCGACGATAAACCATTCGTCCGGATAGTCATTACGCATATTGCGCTACATGTGCCGGATTCTGACGCTGCATATGCACGCACAACAAGTCGGCTGGATAGCGTCATGAAGCCACATCTTCTGGATAAAGGGTACGATTTCGAGTATCATGTTGATGAGACGGATAGACGGCTGTGGAAGATTAATGCGTTGGTGCCGCCGCCATTTGGGAGTGAGGGGGAGAGGGTGTGGGTGAAGGAGAATAGGGCGGTGGAGTATGAGGGGGGTTCTTCTTCGCTCTGATTTATTCATTCTCTTTCGGTTCGAAGGAGGGGAGATGTGGTTGGGTTTGGGTTGAGGTTATGCGATGGTAGGGTTGACTGGGGAGAATGGAAGCTATGTAGGTGCATTAAGACACAAATAAATGAAGCATGACATTGAATTTCACATCCTTCCAATGCTCTGCAGGATATAATCCCTACAGTATATAGCTTGCGGTTGAAAGATATTCTAACCACCCCGGGGTGATAGTTCCTACAAGTTAGGTAGTAACTACAGACGGATCATGTGTCCAATATCCATAGAAATGTATGTAGCGTTTATATAATGCGACTAGAAGCACTACTGAGCTAATATTTTAGTCCAAAGCTTCTACTGGTGTATCATTCCAGCTATATAGCTGTCAGTAGCTCGAACACTAATAACGTTGCTATAGCATTTCTCCCAGAACATGTTCAATGGTACTAGGTCTCAAATGCCGAAAAATAAATCAAGAAGTCAGACTCTTTGATTCTGGCTATCAGTATTCAATAAATAGCATTCATTTCTCGTAAACGTCTCAGCGACTCCAATCATCGATGATAAAACCGGACATGGAGGTGAAAAGTCATAAATGCAGTTTTAGAAACCGGCCCGCTTACCAAATTAGGTATATTTCCGCTATATCCGCCATCGGGATAGTAACATCCATCCCCGAATGGAGCGGAGAATTGTTATTATTAGAAATATGATGATACTCTACTAGATTAATTCAGGAAGAAGCTTTCACAAGATACAGAAGGTTGTCTGCACATCAATGAACAAAAGATATTGGCAATTGCTTACGTGCAGCGGATGTATCTTCCTCAGATATCCTCTTCCATCACAGTAGTACAAGGAGAATAAGTAGTTTGTTGAAGTAGCTAAAAGAATCAAATAATCCGATCAAGAAGCTTGAACGTACATGGTTCACTAACTACAACAGTCCTAAACTGCATTATACCGTATGAAAAGCTACAGTTTCGGAAGATGTGGAGAGATCAACTCCCCATCCATAAGGCCGACTACCCTCGGAAAACATAATGATTCCGGGACTCATATCCCGGGCAGATACGGGAGTCCGATTTCTCTAGCTATGTGTCCTAATGGGAAAAGACATCAGTAAAAGACCAAACTTCTACATATCTACCTACACTGTAAGACTAAGCATGTAGATGTGATAACCGTTCCCCCGTTGACTTCCCGAGTATCTAATTCTTCGGTGTGTCTTCATGCTTCCCTCGGGGTTTCTATCTCCGGCGGGGGAGGTGCTCATCTCGGCTATACATATGCAGATGACATCTCGCTCTCTCTCTCTCACCGTATCGAGATCTGAACGGTAGTCCATAATACCATCTGTCCATTACAACAGTTGACAGCCATACGTACCACCGTAGAACCACTCCTTCCATGTACACAATACATCCCGAGACAGGGCCGCGTGGTCTACCTTCCTGCTAATATTGGAGATAACCCGGTGAGATGAAATCGATGCTACCCGGCCAGACCAGACTAAACCCGGGGCCTCGACCGTAAGTAAGCGAAAGCTCAAGCTCCAGCTGATGTAAGTCTAGCCCGATAATCTCACATCGGCGACGACAGCTCAGCTGGTGCCTACGCAGTGAGTTTCCTCCTATTTTCCCGACGGAGCTAGAAAACGGGCTCGCCCATGATAACCTCGGGAGATCACTCTGGAGGACTTTGGGCTGGCGGGGGGCAGGTATGGATCTCTGACAGCTGGGGGTGGGTGGGTTGGGATTGTTCTGTCATCCGGGAGTTCCGCTTTCGATGGATCAATAGTTATGTTTATGTTTATGTTATGTGTGTGATGAGTTTGTTTGTTTGTTTATTTGTTAATGGGGTAAACGCAATGATCTGGAATCCGAGTAAGATCATTTCCACGACTTGGGTTGTGGCTTGGTGAGTCGTCTACATGGCTGAATGGCGATACGTATCTTTTGCCGACGTTCACTGCCTCACAGCCGACGAGGCCAGATAATCGCCTGCTCTGAATTGGATGGGTGGCGATGCCTTTTTTCCTCCTCCTCCACACACCTCCCGATTAGGGTTCGTATCGGTTCACGTGCGAAGTTGGGAACCAGGATTTGAACCCCGGGGAAAGAGAAGAAAGGTACTTTGGTTTTTCTTCTTTTACTCCACATGGCTGGCTGGCTGGCGTTGGTGAGTTTCCCGATGGGAAAAAGTAAGTTTGAGTTTAAGACGATAAGGTCAAGCAAGCGACGAAAACGGGATCTCCATTAGTTATCGTAGCTGCTGCTGCTGCTGCTGCTGCTGCTGCTTACCAACACGATCGGAATGGTGGAAATTATTATCACTTCGCCGGTACTAATACTACTTACTATCACTAATAAAGTAATATTGGCAGCGGTAGCAGTGTCTGGCCGTCCGGCGGATAATTCTCCGCCTCCGCGCCAGATGATGGGATGGGATGGCTAAAGGGTAAAAAGGCAATTGGTAGCAACCCCGGAAAAGACTTATGCCCAGCCCACTCCACCCCGGGGCCGGAGGTGACTCGGGCAATTTTTTCTTTTAGTGTGATTATTTTATTTCTCTACTCCGTAACTAGCCCCAGCCGGGCGTCAAGCCAGCGCGTGGCATCCTGAGACGGGAAGGAAATAAGTGGCGCCGGATGAGCGAATGGGAGGGCTGACAGGGCCACCTGTAGGATTGACGCCATTACTACAACGGGAGTTGGCTTGTCCTTGGCGCGGTGGATCGGCTTCTTTCGCGTGGTGGTCATTTTGGCTTTTGGGTCTTGTTTGGCTGGGCACAGAGGCTTAGGGTCGCCGAACTAAGGCACGCTGGAGGGTTTCGAGATGTCATGGGGTCACATGGATGACATCGTTGCTCGGTACAAGTCCGTGGGGGAGAACAGGACTTTGTTGCTTGTCCCTCCACCCTGGGTGAATCCCGTAGTTACTACGACCCTGGACCTGAGGTGAAGTAGCATTGTTGTTCCTCGGGTCGGCGGCCCGTTTGGTGAATATATACTACCCAACATCCCGATAGTCCATGTGACAATTGTCACGGACTCCCCAACGTGACAGGATCGACACTCGGGGTCGCAACAACACTGCAGGAGATGCAGACGCTGACAGGCTCAGCTCATCCTTACCCCATGGGAAACCCCGACGAGGCGCATGCGAAAGTTGGAGATGACAGCGGGTGAATTTACTCGATATAGTAAAGCAGGGATGAGGGTAGCTCTGACGGTCTGATCAGGATGATGATGATGATCATCATCATCAGAGATGAACAAGTCGGTGATGGTTTTCGTGCCGTGAGAGTGTCGGAGAATGCTCCGGGGATGTCCGACTCACCCGTTGCACCGCCAAGAAGTGTTTAGTCATGGGTATTTTGGCTGACTTGCTGGAACGAGAAGAGAGAAGAGAAAATGGAATGGAAGATGGTGTGAACTCTGGCCAGAAAAGCAAGAGTCCGGAGGGTAATTGCGGGGTCGGTTCGCTTGTTCTGCCTCGGGTGGCGGTGGAGACCAATCAGCATCGCCGGTTGGCCCGACTCAGCGGCCACGGGACAACCGGTTAAATGCAACGCGGGGACTTGCCGGCGGTCACCGATCGGTCGGCTTACTTGGTTCTGTGGGTGTTTGGTTGGAACTACGAACGGGGACTGAAGTAGGGTAAGGTGAGGTGAGGTGACGGGGAACGGGGGTTAACCCAGTAAAGCAAGATACCAATCAGGATAACCCGTAGACGGAGAGACCATCGAAAATCATCAGAGAAGTAATCGACCCATCAATCGGAGAGGTCTGTTCAGAACTGCATGATTCATACTGTAGGTAAGTACTTCTCTGTACAGTCGGAGAGAGAGCACGGTCGGTCAGCAGCCAGTTGCCGTGTCGATCGGGAATCGTATCCCTGCCCCAGCCAATCTTGCCCAAACGGGACGCAGACACTTTTGCTGAAGCAAAGTCCTGCAAGACCAAGGTCCATGGCCCAGCCCAGGCGGATGATCGTGATCTCATCTCGCTTCTCCCCCGCGGGGAGATCCGATGCAGGGGGAAAAGAAAAAGTGAGGGAGGGATGACGCTCTCACGAAAACCGGCAGGGCCAGCAGCTCTTTTCTCTTCTCCCCCCCGTTGTACCCTGGCCCTCGCTTCTTTCAGATGCGTCGATACCCGAGGTTCGTCAACCCACGATCGGGCTAGAATCATTTGCCGTCCGTGTCTTTCCCCTCATTTTCGACCCTTCCGTTTGGCCTGACTGGGGGGTGGTGTTGTGATGGTTTAATTGGAAGGTAGTCGGTGTCTTGGCCTTTCATTAGTCTGCAAAAGGAATGGACAAGGTCTGTGGACTGGAGGGTTAGACTTTTGAAAATTCCGGGGTACGGTGGTCTGCTTTTGTAGTAGTACTTAATTAAGTAAAGGAAAAGGGAAAAAGAGTTTAGAGGATGTGGGTGGGATGACTTGGTGTGTCTTGTTTACCATAGAAGGAAGAATGGGCAGCAGGAGTAAGCAAGTAGTGAGCTGAGCCCTATTCTTCTCTCTCCCTCCCTTTCATTCTCCTCCCGCAATCTGGTTGGGTTTCTCGGATTCGGGGGTATTGTCGTTTTGGGGCCTCGCGTCATGCAATCCCCGGATTTTGTAACGGTTTACGGGGCGAACTCCATTCCCATGCCATGCGAGGTATAAGGGATCTGACCTATTAATATAAATCCGGGGAGGGTGCTACACTTGGTGGAAGATTACTTTATGTTCGACCGACCCTTTTTTTTTTTTTTTTAATTATTATTCTGATTTTAAAATACTAGGGAAAGTAGTGTGTCTGACCATGACACACAGCTACTTAACTGACTACTCACCGGGCGAACTCAAGGGCCGTCATGTTAGGTAATGGAATGGGCAGATGGCGGTCAAGTGACGTTCCACAACACGGCTGCTGGTAACCGGCATCTCGGTCGGTCGGTACAGGTACGAAAAGGTAAACCCGGAGCCATCGTATGTGGTCAATTTTTAGGGATGAATGCCCAGTTCTTTATTGATAAAGCTCTCTCCACGTAGATATTACCATCATCATCGTCATCATTCAAATGTGCTTACAACCGTGTCTCCAATTATGTGGAAGAGTAATGACGGGGA